ATATCAAAGAGATTGTCCGATGATTTCCACATTCCGTTGAGTCACCTCTCTTTGGAATGAGCACAAATATGGATCTCTTCCAATCAGTTGGCCAGATAGCTGTCTTCCAAATTTCTTGGCAGAGATGAGTGAGTGCCTCCTGTGCCACCTAACTTTCTTGAATGATTTCAATTTTTATTCCATCAATTCCTGGTGCCTTGTTCTTTGACAATTCCTTCAATGTACCTTGGACTTCCTCCTTCAGGATCATTGGCTCTTGATCATATGCTACCTCTTGAAATGGTTGAACATTAACCATTTCCTTTTGGTACAGTGACTCTGTGTATTCCGTCCATCTTCTCTTGATGGTTTCTGCATCATTCAATAATTTGCCCAGAGAATCTCTCAATAATGAAAGTCGAGGCTTGAATTTTTTCTTCAGTTCCCCCAGCCGGAGAAATGCTGAGTGTGTTCCTCCTTTTTGGTTTTCTGATTCCAGATCTTTGTACATTTTATTACAATATTTGGGTTTATCTTCTCGAGCTGATCTTTGAAATTTTCTGTTCAGCTCTTGGACCTCCTCATTTCTTCCATTTGTTTTAGCATCTCTACGCTGGAGAGCAAGTTTCAGAGTCTCTTCTGACGTCCATTTTGACCTTTTCCTTCTTTCTTGTCTTCTTAATTACTTTTTACTCTCTTCATGTTGTTCTTGATGTCATCCCACAACTTTTCTGGTTTTCGGTCTTTAGTGTTTAATGTATCAAATCTGTTCTTCAGAGGATCTCTAAATTCAGGTGGGATACATTCAAGGTCATATTTTGGCTCTCGTAGTCTTGTTTTCATTTTCTTCAGCTTCAATTTGAATTTGCTTATGAGTAATTGATGGTCTGTTCCACAGTCTGGTCCTGACATTGTTTTCACTGATGATATGGAGCTTTTCCGTCTCCTCTGTCCACAGATTTCTATGTATTCCATCTGGATAGGTCCGTGTGTATAGTCGTCTCTTATGCTTTCTAAAGAAGGTATTTGAAATTAACAAATCATTGGTTTTCAGAATTCTATCATTCCAGCATCATTTCTACCACCAAGGCTATGTTTTCCAACTACTGATCCTTCCTCTTTGCTCCCA